TATTCCCATTAGAGAATAATAAACCTACATTACTTTTAAAAGCACAAAACATTATGAACTTATATCAAGGTGCATTATCCTGTTTTCAAATCTGCAGGGCAATTTGTAGCGGAGAGTGAACTGTGTTTCCAGTTTCAACCCAAACAAACATGCCTCAAGTACAAGATGTTTGCAGAAACCTTGGCAAGGAGTTCCTGGGAACCGCATGCTATGGCTTTTGGGTGGCAACAAGGGATGAAGGCACCTTCAAGACATCGGCTTAACCCTAATAAGGCTTTTACCTGTAGCCTCACTCAGATCAATGATCATGGCTCCCCGGTGTTTAATGCATTCTCTCATGAATCCACGGTAGTCTACAATCTTCAAGGAGACAATAAAATAAAATTAGGAATACAGGAAGCTGCCTTGTACCAAGTTGGCCCATCTGCCCATCTGCCCATCTAGCTCACTAATGTCTACACTGGCTGGCAGCAGCTCTCCAGGGTTTCAGGCAGGACTCTCTCCCAGCCTCCATGGTAATGCCAGGGATTGAACCAGGAACCTTCCGCATGCAGGGCAGAAGCTCTGCCCCATAGCCACGGGCCTCCCCCAACATGCTTTCCCCAAACTCCTTCAGTAATAATCTTTTGTGTTGTTCTTTTTAACATGTAATTAATTTTCAAAAATTGCACTGCTGTGTTCATCATAATAACCTCCATTATGGAGAGGGTCTATAGCTACGTCTGTGGTAACAATTGACTTTGCACATAGAAGGTGTCAGGGTCAGTCCCCGCCAGCATCACCACCTAAATAGCTTCCCATTTCTGGAGAGCCACTGCCAGTCAGAGTAGACAATACTGTACTAAGGTGGGTGGATCAATGGCAGCTTCATATACAAGCTTACTTTGAGGAAAACAGAATAAATTATCAGTGCTTGTTGGGGTGAGAGAGAGAGAAAGAGCGAGAGAACAAACCAAGCTTATAAAAGATATCCAAGTTGATTACGCATCTTCAGGAAAACACACATTGAAGTCTGCAGTTATGCCAAGAGGTCCCTACATTGGAAGCTTGTCTTGCAAATTGGGTCCTGGCTGAGTCAGGAAAAACATTTCAAAGCCATTAGACTTGTAGACACAAGGAGACAGTCTCAGTTGTTCAAATAAATTGCAAATGGGGCACAGGGCAGGGACAGTCCTTTGAACATTCAGAGCCCCAAACCATAGAGCTGGCCATGTCAAGTACAGTATGGGGGTTGTGTTCTGGGTTATCGTATGTGTCACCAGTTCCATGTAAGCCCATTCCGCCCGCTTCTGGGGCAAAAGAGGTGTGTGCATCAGCAGTTTCACATGCTTTGGTTGAGAGCAAGATGGTCATTCCCTGTATATGGCAGAGGGAAATAATCCAGACTTTCAGCCATGGGCAATGTGCACTTTTGGTCACCCAACCCAGGCAGGAAACAGATTGTCTCCCAAACACTCTTTAAGGGCAGCCCTACATTGAGCTCATAATGCAGTTGTCTAGGCTTAGAGCTACACCAAGGCCAAGACAACAACCAAATAGGGGGAGGGGAATCCATACTTACAGGACTAGGAACGTAGAGGCAGGCGGGCCTCTGGATGCCATATTGTGGGGCGATGGCATATGGAGGCAGGTAAGCTCTGTGAAACAGGCATGACAGAGGACAAGCAGGGCTTAGCTTTCCTGTTCTTTTCTGACAAATGAGTCCTACACCTGCTACAATAGAAATCCAGAAAGGCTGTGCCCACCCAGCAGGGCAGTCTCCTCCCCCTTCCCCAGATGCCTTGTTGACCATCTCTAAGCACACCAATGAAATTTCACAGGCAGATACGCCACACAAAAAGAAACAACTAACAATGCTGTTATGGGGTGGGGAGGAAGAGGGCAGGGCAGGAACCCATTAATTTAGTAAAAGAGAAAAATATAGAATTATTCCTGGCATGAACTATATCTCCCCTCCACATAACTCCCCACATTTCACCTGGAACAGTATTTAACATTCTTTGGCCACTGAGCAGGTTTCATTGGGTTTCATTGGGCTGTGTGGTTTTTTTGGGCGAGGGTCAGGTTGCTACCTCCCTAAAGATTTTGTACTTCTGCAAAGCCTGGGAATTTCAACTATCATGTTGACACCTCCCCGCCCCCCGCCCCCCATTTCTTAGGGTCCCTGTTTTGGGTAAAGTTCCCTCGGCACTTCCCAGCTGAGTTTGGCAAAGCAACACATTTATTTGTCAACCGTTCATGGTCCTGGTACTGCTGTCATGGGTGGCGCCTTAATGCAAGCGCTCTCAACCAGATGCTTCCTACACTCCCACCACAACCCACAAACCCTGCTGGATCAAGCCAGTGGCCCGTCCACCATCCTGTTCTCACAGTGCCAACCAGATCCTGGTGGGAAAGCCACAAGCAGGCCCCAAACATAAGCGTCCTCTCCTCGGTAGTCAGCCTTTAGAAGAGAGCGCCAAAGTGGTTCTCCCCAGATTCTGCTGCACTCCAACTCTCACCAGCCTCAGCAGGGCTGTCTTAAGCATATGCGGAGCTGGGGTGCAAAGATCCACCCAGTCCCCCCCCCAGGTTGCCCAGTCCCAGGGTGGAGCCGGCCAGCCGCCTCAGCGTCTCACTGGCTCAGTCCCCCCCCGAACTCGCACTGCAGAGCCACCCGCAGTAGAAGAGCCTGCTGCGGCACTCCGACCAATGGGCGGGCTCTTCCCTGGACTCAACCCTCGGGCCCAGCACCCGGGTGCCCCGCACCTCTAGCACCTATGGGTAAGATGACCCTGAGCCTCAGCCAGCATGGCCAGTGGTCAGCAGGGATGGGAGCTGTCATCCTGCAACATCTGGGTGACCCTGGCAGGTCCCCCACCCTGCTTTAGAGATCCTCTATCACAGTCCCAGAAGCAGGGAGGTCCCCAGTGTGAAGGCACCTCATCTGAGCAGATGACACTTACCTGTAGGGGAAAGCCATATTGTGTTCATCCCAGCACTTGGCTGGCCCTAGGTCTGATTATTATTATTATTAATACCACTATTACCCTACATACGTATTACCCATGATCTCACAATGGCTCCTGCCTGAAGCTGATTGGCCATTGTGCTGTGTGGCTTCACTGCCAGGCTGGACCCATGGGGTACCAAGACTTATTAGGAGGCTGGAGCAGAAGAAAAGCTGTTCATTCACAAGCGGCAGAACACAGAAGCCCAGACCTCACTATCTGCCCCCCTCCCAGACCTTCCCTAAGCCCCCCTCCAGGCCACCCCCCTCGCCAGCCCTGCCCCTCCCTTGCCTGGATGGAGAGGTGGGCACAGGAAAACCTCAGACGTAGCTGGAATGCAACTGGCCTTACCAACGGCTCAGAGCTGCATCTGTTGTTTTGCCCACTGTTGCCTCTGGCCCTGCTGCTCCTGGCATGTGGCCCCCAGAAGGCTTCCCATGAGGGAAGGTGGTCCTGGGCTGAAAAGGGCTCCCCTCCCTTGCTCTAGAATCAGAATGGGGAGGCATCTCAAAGGTCGCCTGCTCATAATAATAATAATAATAATAATAATAATAATAATAAATTTTATTTATATCCCGCCCTCCCCAGCCGAAGCCGGGCTCAGGGCGGCTAACAACACTAAAATGAGGTGAGGTGAGGCCGTTGCTGCAGGCGGCTGGCAGATCCAGCCTTGTGGAGAGCCCCCTCTGCTTGCTGGCTTCTCTGCTGTGCGCTGATGGCAGCGGGCAGCGCTATTTTTCTAGAAAATGAGGTGCCGGAATTCACCATGAACACCCTCCCTTGTTCTCTTAGAATGGCAATGGCACACACCAGAGAGGTGCCGGAACTGAGTTCCAAATCCATTGGCAGTGGGTTCATGGCAGTAGAGGCGTTGGGGGTGGCAGGTGCACACCTAAGAGCAGCGGGGGCAGCATTTTCTGCTTTGCCTCTAGCAGCAAAACTTCCTTGGCTGGCCCTGACATCCATTCCGTAGTGGGGCAGGGTAGTTGTTTTTCCTCCATGGTGTCAGGGAGTGGTGGACTGAGGAGGAATGGTGGGAGCCCCAACCCCTTCTCCTGAACCTTCCCAAGGGCAGGAGGGCAGTATTGATGCAGAACAGTGGTTTGTAGAAGGGCATAGTCTAGAGGGGAAAAGCTGGGAAATAGTGGGTGAGGAGCAGCTAGAAGAGGAGCCACCAGGAGAGAGAGAGCTGGCAGATTCAGTGTCCTTGGACAGCATTCCTGACCCCCTTCGCCTAAGACTAGATTGGCTTTGAGAGTGATAGAACAAAAAGCGCAACAGCAACAAGCTCAGATTACCCGACGTAGGAGTGGCATAGATTAATGGAGACGGGGGGGTGAACCTTAACTGGGAGCGACACCATTTTTTAGGGAGACATGCATTGCTGTGTCTCTTGCTGTGATTATTAAAGAAACTCTGATAAGAACGCTCCTTTTGTTTGCTCTTCTCATTCACTGCCACCGGGAAAGGGATCTAATTCCCCAAAGTCTGACACATAAGCATCTCACATCCTGCAGTCTGCCACATCACTTTCCCCAACTGTATTTCCCAGTAACCTTTAGATTCCTCAGAACAAAATCTTATCAGGGATCATGAACAGCTTACCTGAATAAAAACAACCCCACTGTTGCTGGTTTCTCTCTGAAATACCCAACCATGCCCACTCAGGGGCATTCTCAGCTTATGCAGGTGGGCGATGTCTAGGTCCAAATAACCAGGTGACCCCACACAAACTAATGGCCTACCCTAGAATGTGCCACAGTGATCCAATAACTTCCCCCACCTCCAACCTAGATGAATGTAGCAAATTTTGGTTCAAGTGTTTACAGATTCCCTCAGAATTTGTGTAAATATTTTCCATCATAGCAGGGCCCCAAAATGCACTTCATATTAGTTTTGCTGAACCCAGTATTCTCTGCAACCCTCAAGGGTCCTGCGGGGCAGGAGAAGACAAAGCAAACCCATGGCTGAAAACAGTTTTATACATTCCACAATCCAATCCACACCTGCTTGAAGCCTGATGAGCCAGGAGATAAAACATTTTTTAATGTTTTTGGCTTTTTATTCATACCAATACACTTTTTGTCTAAAAAAACACTCAGAATTGTCTTTTTGACCGTCAACGCTAGCAATATATCAGAAACTCCAGAGTTCCTTTCAAAGATTACATACAAGAGAGGCTTCGACATACTGTTAAAATAATGGGTACAACTCTGACCATTGCACACACTAAAATATATTTGCACTTTGCAAAATAAAAAGGTTTCCCCCCTAAAATGTTTGGTTATTCCTGGTATAAAAAAGAGAAGTAAAATGCAGCACAGCTGAGATTTCAGTCAAAATAAAATAAAATGAAGACAACATATAGATTTAAGTGCGAATATAAACATACAAAGCTACACAGATAGAAAAGCTTTTTTTAAAAAAAAGGAAAATACTACAATGAGGCAAGTCCTTGAGGAGGACAGCACTGGGACAGTCCATCAGTTCAATGCACCACACGAAGCTTCTTCGTTCTTTGTGGGCCTGTTCCTTTCGTGGCAGTTATAGAATCCCTTCGTACCATCAGGGCCCCTGGGCAGACGCAGAACGCCAACGGGTAACCCAACTGCAGTCGGTATTTTGGGACTCTGCACTGGGCTGCCTACAGGACTTTTCTCTTGTGTCAGAGTCTGAGCTTGCCGCCTCCTCTGGACCCACGGGCTGCTGGAAGGAGTAACACTACTGTCCGATGAATAATCCATGCATCTCCTTGATGTCTCAGGGCTGGTGCTCAGGCTAAGCCTTCCTTCTCCAGCAAGTGGGGACATCCTGGACACTTTACGCAGTGCAGAAGGGCTGCTCCAAGGGCTGGATCTTGGAGACACGTTTGGGCTAAGATGATTGTTCTGGTAGGCAGAAAGACTCAATTTGTTGGAAGAGTTGCTTCTGCGCCCAGACATGGGTGATGCTGGGTTGCTCTCAGGCTCAGAGGAGCTGTTGGCTGAAGATTCATCACCAATGAACTGAAGTTCTTCAACCCTCTTGTTCACTGAACGCGTTTTGCTGAGAGCCTTGCTGGAGTCTTCTTCACGGTTCTTGTCTTTGAGGACCTTCTTTTTTGGAGGCTTCATTCCAATGAGGATAACCTTCATGGCAGTTTCATTGTCCCTGATGCACATAGACTCATGAGCTTTGATAGCAGCATCTACCTCTTCAAACTCGATGATCGCACATTCTTTGGTTCCCACTTGGCTGTATCGGCTGCTGAATCTCTTGATATCTGGTGGAAGATCCCGACCAGGCTTGAGGATGCGAACCGACGAGATGACGCCAAACCTGACAAAGGCTTTGAGGAGATGCTCCATTATCTTCTCTTGAACACATCCATTCTCTTGTCCTCCATCTGGAGGATGGAGATCAGAAACCAAGCAGATGTCATAGACAAGCAGCATCTTGCTTGGGAGATTCTCGCTAGGGAAGACGGGGACAGGAGTGTTACGACGGACCTTCCTGTTGTCTTCATTCAGCTCCAAAACATCAGAATATTTCAGGGCATAAGATGTGGTTCTCCAGTCACGGGTCAAGTGTTTTACCTGTAAGGGAAAGGTAGCTCATTGAGAAAAGGCAAAAACATTCCTCTTCTCCCAGGTCTTTGGCTACTTGAACTATCTATCGTCCTTTAAACTGTTGAGGGTATTGTTTTAGTTTCTTTCTATGTTATGTCTTTTGTGGTTTTATATTGTAAACAGCCCTGTGATCCTCAGGTCAAGGGTACTATAGAAATTCAAACAAACAAACAAACAAACAAAACACCAGAATAGTATGACATAGCCATGAGTGAATGGGAGCAGCTTTCGTTCACTTGCATAATTTGCCATCAGCCTGGCAGACCAAGGGACGCAGGCACACACAACCTACTTCAGGCTGCTGGAGGGAGCAGCAGGACACTCAGTGGCTCTGTGCTGGGCCAGCTGCATATCCTGCAAGACAGCCAGGACTGCATTCCTGCATTGCAGGGGGTTGGATTAGATGACCCTTGGGGTCCCTTCCAACCCTATGATTCTATGACTGCCTCCTGCAGCTTTAGGCTGCCTGCATGGCCCATGGAATTGAAAGACAGCAAAGCTTTCTTATCGTGGAAATGCCCTCTGGTATCCAAGTTCTGGGCTGACACACAAGGGAAAAGGGACAGGAAGGGAAAACCATATGCATATAGGAGCATAGCCTGAACGGACTCTGCTGGCCCCTCTGGTTGAAGCAACACTTTGCAGCCACCATGCAACAAAGCTCACCTTTTTGAAAGATGTCAGGAGCTTGACACTGACGTATCCCATCTTGTTCCTCCGAACATGCTTCAGGAGAAAGGCATCTTTTTCAAGGTTTTCATCTGAGAAGTAATACTCAATCTGGGCCACCAGCTTCACGATCAGCTCCTGCTCCGGAGGTTTCCAGTTGTGGCCAAAGTCATCCCCGTCATTCTCACCACCACTAGGAAGAGAGAGAAAAGAAGACGATATTGCTCAACACACCTGGATGTCTTATTACAATTTTACACCTGCATTTCTGCTTCTTCCAAGGGAAATATTGCTGCAAGGTGGAATCATTCTTGCAAGGCTCCTTTCAGAAGAGAGTCCTTCTGACCTGCAGAAGCATTTCTTCTAATGGAATCACCTGAATAGGAAACTAAAATGATGGTTTCATGTGACACTTAATATGCAGCTATGCAACAATGGTCCTACTATGATGTTTCCTCAGAATTAAGCCTTGTTCAAGCAATGTTCTGAGAAATGTTAATTATTAGTTTCCCATTTGTAGCTTCTATTTGCTGTTGCTTCCTGTTTAGTGTGACAGTGCTGTTACTGCTTAATTGCTCCTTCGCCTGTCAGTTCCTGATCCAGATTAATTACTGGTTTTGTTTTTCTTTATCTTTACTGTGATATACTGTCTTTTTGCTACTCCAAAATAACTATTTCACAATAAAAAAATAAAAGTGGTTGGAGAGCAGCCATTATGACTCTCCTGCAGGGAACTAGAAGTGACTGATTTAGTGCTTCTAAACCTTTGTACTTTTAAAAGCCACAAGTGGAAGCTTCTAATTCAAAGGCAATGCTAGCACTGAAAAGCTTCAATAGCACTTTGCTATTCTACACCCGTTTGAGTGGCACTGCAACCATATTTTAAAATTAAAAGAAGAAAACAAGGCACCATAAATCAGGCCCAAAGGAAAACAAAATCAATGAAATGCAATGGGTTGCCAAGAATAAAGTCTGTAAGAATCAAGTACGGTATGTAGAACATGAATGAACAGTAGCAATTCTAGATGGTAACCAAAGTCTTATGAGGTTGTCCGTTTTCATTCACGTGTCACAATGTGACAGAGCAGGAAAGAAAGAATGTGAAATCCATGTATTAGAGGGAGAACTGGACATGATTGCCAGCCCTGGGAATGATGACGTAGTGGTAATAATAATAAAATCTGTGCACTTCACAGGGTTGACAAGCTTGCTTGACTTACTGATGTCAGGCCCAGAAAAACACATTTTCACTTTGCAGAAATCCAAAGCCAAGAAACACTAAATCCTGCAACTTATGTAGAACCATTTAAGGCACCAATTACCAATCCTATATAAGAGCCCAATAAGAGCCCTAGGACTGGATTAGACCCAGGCCCATCTGTTCTCACAGTGAACAAGCCTCTCCCTTTGGAGAGCTCACAAGCAGGATTTAAGAGGACCAGCCCTCTCCCCTCTTGTGCCCCTAAGCAGGCCCAAGACTGGCGGGGGCATACGGCCATCGTGGCTATTATTTATATACCTTTTAATCAACAAAAGTCTCTAAGTGCTTTACATAAAACAATATGAAATATTCCAAAGAAAATACTGATAAAATCCCCAGATACATGGAAGTGTGCTTTTAAAACAGGAGACATGTGGGTGTCTCCCCCCATATATATAGAGAGAGGGAGAGAGACAGAGAGAGGGTGCTCAAAGTCAACCCTTTAAACACACACACACACACACACACACACGAATTACATGTCTGGGTAGGCTTGTCCAAACATAAAAGATTTTAAGCAGGCGTCAGAAACAGTACAGAGAAAGCCCCTTCCTAATATTAACAGCACCCCTGACAGCCTTGTCCATCACTACATCTTCTGCGAACAAAAACCACGTGTTTTAGTCACCTCTCTCTAGTCCTCAAGGGCAGTAAAAACCACTTTGTTAAGTGATGGAGTTATGCCAGGTCTTGATAAACGGATGGCCCAGCAGAGATATGATTCATCAAGTGCTGTTGTCTTACAAGTGTCACTTGGTCTGGAAAAAAAGAGAGCAAAGATGCTGAATACTGCTCCCCCCCCCCATTTAAAAACATAGATTGTGTTTTTCGAATATATCACACTGAAGAGTGCAATATATGGTACTCTTGTGCCTCAGCAGCTTTGGAGAGGCAAAGAACATAGGATTAGCCTTGACGTGTGCCTGTGTTTGCATTGTCTGATGACTCACAGGCAGATGAGTCACAATCTAATGTGGTTGTTTTTCTGGCTCCTTGATCATTTCTTTTTTGGATTTCGTCGTCTCCATAGTTTTGCACCCCTCCTCTTCCCTTACCACCCCCACTGGATATTTCAAATGCAGATTGCTAGGCTCTGTGGAGGCATTGGGGGTTCTCCTTCTCCACCCGCTCCACTGCTCACATGCACACATGGATTCAATAGCAGATGCATTCCTGCCATTTCAAAAGGGAGGCTCCATCTGCCACACTGGGCAGAAGCAGAATACAGAGGGGCTTGGGTTGCCTGAGCCCTTGTATCCCAGCTCTACGATGGAGATCTTCTGGAGGTTGTCCCCCATGTTACAGAGGCCCAGCTGGCTTCAACTAGAAGCTGGACATTTGGTGGCACTGGTCCCTTCCAAGATTCAGCACAGGAATCCTTGCTTTTGATTTTCAGGTGTTTCTTGAAGGATTTTATTCTAATTTTTATTTTTATTTTTTGTACTGACAGGGTCTTCAGTTTTTGATCAGTTGGTCAAGGGAATTCTTGTGAATACTAGCTGCTGGAAACCACATGAGGGGAGAAGCCTGTTGTGCTTGGTCCAGACATAGGAGCCACCTCCTAGGGGCCTTTGCTTCCCCCCAATAAAATATTTGAGGGGGTCAGGGCCCCCAAAGTTGATGGACAATGCCATTCAAATGGTGTGCATGTACCACAAACTGTAATCAATTATGCAGGTGGGCCCCCCCCAATATTTTATTCAAGTTGGTATCTGAGTCCAGCTTGCAAGTTTCAGGTAACTGGCTGGCCACTGTGAGATCAGGATGCTGGACTAGACAGGCCATTGGCTCCATCCAGCAGGTTCTCCTTATGCTTTTATTATTGTTTTTTTAAAAAAATTATCTTTTATAGTGTAATGTACACTTCCTTGAAATATCATTCTTCTTCTTTGGTGATCCCCTGTAGCCGAGTAAGATTGTCTTCCATAAACACGGTTTTAACAATGAGCCCGTAAGTGACTGTGGATGCCAATTCTGGATCCACACTTCCTACCACAGTGGGGACATTGGTTTCCGGGTGGGAACTGATCATGGTGTGGATTTGCCAAGCGTGCCTTCCTCTTTGCACGTTTCTCCCTTGCGTCCTGAGTTCGAGCGTCTTCAAAGCCTTTGGTAAAGGCTGTTCTCCAATTGGAGCGCTCGCAGGCCAGTGTTTCCCAGTTGTCAGTGTTTATACTACACTTTTTTAGATGTGCTCTGAGACAGTCTTTAAACCTCTTTCATTGATCACCAGCATTATGCTTTCCATTTTTAAATTCGCACACTTGATCTTAGCCAAAAGGCTGAGAAGCGATCCATTTTTAAATTCGGAATAGAGTAGTTGCTTTGGAAGACGATCATCAGGCATCCGCACAACATGACCAGTCCAACGAAGTTGATGTTGAAGAATCATTGCTTCAACACTGGTGATCTTTGCTTCTTCCAGTTCACTGATATTAGTTTGCCTGTCTTTCCAAGTGATGTGTAAAATTTTTTGGAGACATCGTTGATGGAATCTTTCGAGGAGTTGGAGATGGCATTGATAAGTGGTCCATGTTTCACAAGCATAGGGTAAGGTTGGTAGTACAATAGCTTTGTAAACAAGCATTTTGGTTTCCCTGCGAATGTCCCGGTCCTCAAACACTCTGCACTTCAATTGGGAGAAAGCTGCACTCACAGAGCTCAGGCGATGCTGGATTTTGGCATCAATGTTGACCCTTGTGGAAAGATAATGGCCTAGGTAGAAGTGATTGACATTTTCCAGTGTTACACCATTGAGTTGGATTTGTGGCACTGCAGAGGGGTTATTTTGTACTTGTTGGTCTAGCACTTTGGTTTTTGGGATGTTGAGTGATAGGTCAAGCTTTTCGTAAGCTTCTGCAAAGATATTTAGGATGGTTTGGAGGTCATCCTCTGAGCGTACGCACACTACGTTGTCATCAGCATACTGAAGCTCTATGACGGAAGAGTTACGGTAACCTTACTCTTTGCTTTCAGCTTGCTCAGATTGAAGAGCTTTCTATCTGTTCAATATATGATTTCTACTCCGGTGGGGAGTTTCCCTTTGACAAAGTGCAGGATCATGGCAATGAAAGTAATGAATAGAGTTGGGGCAATAACACCACCCTGTTTAACACCTGATCCCACTGTGAATGGTTCACTTTGAGAGCCATTGTTATCTGTGATTGTTGCTGTCATATTATCATGGAGGAGCCGGATGATGTTTACTAATTTATCTGGGCAGCCAATTTTCAGAAGGACAGTCCACAGGGCATTACAATTTACGGTGTCGAAAGCCTTAGTCAGGTCAATAAACGCCATATACAGGGGTTGGTTTTGCTCTCTGCATTTTTCTTGAAGCTGTCAAGCAGTGAAAATCATGTCCACTGTCCCCCTAGAAGGCCGAAAACTATTTTGGGATTCAGGAATGGTCACCTCAGATATTGTTACGAGACGGTTTGCTAAGATCCTTGCAAGAATTTTGCTGGCCGCAGCTAATAGAGAGATGCCTTGATAGTTTCCACAATCAGTTCTGTCACCTTTTTAAAAGAGATTGATAATTTTGGCATCTCTAAAGTCTGCTGGGATTTCTTCTCTTTCTCAGATTTTTTTGATGAGCTTGTGAAGTTGTGTAACTTCAATTCCACCCACTTTGAAGATTTCGGCAGGTATCCCATCAGGTCCGCTGGCTTTGTTGTTTTTCATTTGGTTAATAGCTATACACAGCTCTCCCAGATTTGGAGATACTGCAAGCTGATCTCTAACTGGGTTTTGTGGAATTTGTGAGAGGACCTCAGCAGCTACAGGGGAGTTGCGGTTAAGATGTTGGTAATGCTCTTTCCAGCGCAGTGAAATAGCTATTTTATCTTTTAGAAGTGTGGTACCGTCTGCTGAGCATAGGGGGCATACGTCATGATTTATTGGCCCATAGATGGTCTTTGTGGCTTTAAAGA